AGCTGTCCCAAATAGGTTTTGAATAGTTTTACACACACGATAACTGAATCCTTAAGTGCAGCCTCTGACAAACAAAGCAGACCAAATGCTCCCCTAAAGAAAACAACTGATAAAAAATTAGTCCTATTAGAGAATCAGCATCTTTACGGTGACAGGTTTCAGCAAAACTTCAGCAAGATTCCTTACCTAAGTTAAAAATCAATATTATGGAGGGCCAGCCAGTAACTAAAACAGTGCTTTAAGCAGTTACTGGATTCTTTGGATGTAGCAGGTAGATCCGTGGCCACTGCTGTGACCATGCACACACAGAACTTGTGACTACAAGCTTCTATTATTCCCAAAGCAGTGCAAAATACTACTGACAACTTAGGTGCGCTGAATTGTTCAACACTTGTATGAACAAGGGACTACAATTGATTCCTTGAGGATTTCAAGACCACAGTCCTTTTCTTGAGCATCTACACCTTGGTCTCAAACCACAGCTCTGCTAAGTATCAGGGGTAACTAAGGAAAGGACACCTAGGCCAAGTCCAGATGAGTGCAGCCATGTGATATGTGGCACTGCAGACATGTCTGCACCACCACATCCCACACATTCAGCTATTCTCTGCACTGAAACGTAGCGGGGGGCGGGGGGAGTTTGACCCCAAGATCAAAAAACTCATGCAAAAAAAAAAAGCAGGGGGGCACATGCGGGGACAGTGTCCACTGCCTAAAACTGGAGCCTGGCCAGCTGGAGCCACACTCCAGTTGCCAACCAGGCTCCAAACAGCATGGTTGCCACTGCTACAGCTCCAGAAGGGCCCCTAGGTAAGGCTGCTGGGGCCAGCCCAGTGCTCGCACCAGTCTCCCCTATCCCTCCCAGGGTAACCTGCTATGCCAGAGGGCACATGGCAGAGGTATTCCCCAGGGACACCTTGTGTTGCTGCTAGTTGTCCCCGGGGAACCAAGTGTCCATGCTCATGTGGACTCAGCCCCCCACATAACACAGACCATCTGGAAACTGCAATTCTTTTGGAGGTTTTATTGAAGAATCAAGAATCCAAGAAGCAGGCTTCATCCAAGAATTGAGATCTGCACTTGAAACACCATCATTAAATCCTTCTTTTTGTTTCTTCCATCATGTTTGGCTTACCATAACAATGTATATCAAACAAATAGATGACAAAAAATAGATAAACTATAGGTAAGAAAAAATAGATAACATAACAATTGGCAGTCATCACTCATGGCTTTATCCCATCCAGCCTTTCCCCATCCTTCTTCAAGATTGCCTCAGAAAAGGCAATCCCAAAAGAAAAAAGGTGTTCTACATCCCATCCCAGACTGAAGAAGCTTGAGCAAATTTAAACATAGGATCAGCCTGGTAACGCTTGCTTTCATTGTTCCATCCCTTCAGACTTCAAGGTTGATTCATGTCCCTTGACCTACAAGATAAACTTTTTTACACTGCATCCAGTCAGCCTGCTGAAAGTATTTGGGCTTCACAGCAGCGCCAATCACTACTAGTACAGTGTGCTTTCATTTGGTTTCTTCATAACACCAAGAACCTTCACAGAATACTTGCTGGTAGTAGCAGCACAGGGTACTGAGAGGACTAGGCATTCATATTTATTCAAATGCAAACTGTTGGCTAATTAAAGGCAGGAAGCTACTATAGCCCTGAGCAATGTTTGTTACCTTCTCAGACAGGAAGGGCTCACGGTGAATTACAGGAAATCAGAGAGAACTGACAAATGATGTCTTGCATTTGAAAGCTTGTCTAACTTTATCCTAGCTACAGAGTTGGTTCAATAAAAGATATCACCCACAGAAATCCTTGCTTCTTGCAAGTGAGAAATCATTTCTCACTCCATGACAGATGATAGAATTTATATAAGAATGCTAATTGACTCCTACAACAATGCCTTTCTCTTCAGATAATAGTCATCAGTATCAAATCAAATGCCACAACCTAGGTAAGAAAGTGGCTCAGACACTGAGGCTTACACATGCTTGATGCCAGTAGCTAGACTTCACCCATATCTATTACATAGCAAGTTTGATGTTTAGTTAAGTTTGATCTGGCACACACAAATAAATATGTGTATATCTTGCACCCTTGGTTCCTGTTCTCTACTATAGCACTTGGCTTAGGGCACAGTCTCTGAACTGAACTCTATAAGATGCCACTTCTCCCCCATCCTATTTGGTTGTGTGTACTCTGCAGCTTAGCTTGTTTTGCCTCATATCCAAGCTATGAAATGAAGAGAATGGTTTGGAAAAGACAAAGTTCCTTTGCAGGTTAGCTCATATGTGGATGAAGAAGAGGCAACAGATAACAGAAAGCAAAGCCCAGGTCTTACTATGATACACAATTGTCCAAAAACTCCTTTAAGGATCTGATTCAAACAAGGATTTCCTTGTGTACATAGTGCCTGAGCTTTTCGTAAGTGCAACCTTGTCCACTTAAGTGGGATTTATGCACAGCTATTTAAGCTTTATTTTCAAGTACCTACCTTCATTGCTTCAAATGTCTGCAAGCCTGGGTGACTTGAGTGTTCCTCCAGTGTGGGCTGCTAAATGCCCAATGCCTTTCCCACTTCCACCCCACAACCAATGGCACAGCATCAAACCTAGAGGAGAGGTTCAGCAAGGAACTATCTCTATGGTATAGTTAGCCCGGTCCACCTTTAAAATTTCCAGCCTTCTTTTCTCAGATGTCCAGTTCGCTGAGTATTGCTTGCACTGCTGGAAAAACAGTGGGAGTTGGGTGTGCTAGCAAAAATTCAAGGCTTTAAGAAGTATTTTCAGCAATAAATGTGTAAAACAAAACCTCAGAACTCTTAGTACACTGTCCCCTATCATACATTCAGATGCTTGCATCCATACAAGAGTATAGTGCTCATGATCTTGAGAGTAAAACTACAAGGACAAGAGGCTACTGTGAACATTGTCTATTGGTACTTCCCTCATTGATTTTAAGCTTTTTTTGTACAAAATGTCAATATTTAAATCATACTGGACTCTTTCTTAAAATTTAGGCTACTTGTTCAATGGAGTGAGAAAAGAGTCACTCAGGATGTACTTACCATCTTCAGCTGTACCAAGTAGAGTCAGAGCCTTTGGTTCACAGTTCTTTCACAAGTGACCAGTTGCTTGGTATGAAGATTCACATACCAGCTATTTCAGCTTCTTAAATATCTTTTCATAAAGAAGTGTTTTCACTGCTGCATTATCATTATCCTCACTTTCCTGCTATATATTGATGATACCAAAGCAACAAGTAAGGTACAGTGTCTTTACAGTACTTACAAGGTTTCTTGAGACAACTGATCACAGAAAAACACCTTTCTAATGTCATCATCCTAGAATTATTAATAACCCTGAGATACCTCAGAAGCAGGGAATACCCTGGATTCCTATTGATTTCATTGGTATCCACTGGAATGCAGCACCTTGTAGGATTGGGACACAGGATCACTTCCTGTGATTACAAACAACAGGAACAGTTCTGTAAAACTGATAGAAAGTAAATAAAAAAGTAGGGAAAGGAGGGATTAGCCCAACAACACTAATCCAAAACCTGGATTGGTCTGTGCCTGACATATGCACATTTCCATTCTTCAACATACAGGCCAACTTTTCCTTGTACCTTATTTGAAAAGAAAACACAAGAGCAAACATCTGAAAGAGGAGGGTGAAAGTAAGGAAACTCTGCTATACAAAAACTATGAGTTAAGCTAAAAGAGCACCAAGGAGTTATATGTCACTTTAGTTTTTAATTTTCCCCATCTGCATGTGTCACTGGATGTTCTAGGCGTCCAAACTATAATCTCCATTTAAACAAAATCAAAATACAAAGCTAATTTAGTTAGTACAATGTTCCCTGGACATTTCCATTGGCAGGAGCCCAGAAGCACGTTGCTGGGGTCTCAAGTGGCATGTTGGCTGAGTGCAGAAGCAGCTGAAGAAGCAGTGCATCAGTTTCACCCTTGCTAATGTGGCCACAGAAAATTGCTCTAAAGAACATTCCATCAATGGGCATATGATATGGGCTGCTCCCCAAAGATTATGCTAATCTGAGGAACTCTAAATAGAGTTGCATTCATTTATTTTTCAATTATGCTGTACTCAGCCTAAAGCAGTAGCTGCCATGGTTGCTTTTCAGAACTGATCTCAGCACTGGAAGTGGCTTCAGAGGTTAGTAAAGAAATAAGATCATGAATAAATCCTCAATCTGGTTAGGTTTCTCTGGGGATGGCTGGAACTCAGCTGCTGCCAAACACTGTTGGCACTTCCCTGGAGTTCCTTTGTGGGGTGGATGAAGACAGATCCTCAGGCAAGCCAATTTATGGCTTTACCACCCCCCTTTCTGCCGATGGCAATGGCTATTGTAGGGTTGCCAAGAAAATGATTACACTAGCTCAGCTTATTGTTTTAGTAGAACAATATAATCACCGAGAACTATATGCTAGGACATGGGAATGTATAAATAGAAAATGTTGTGATAGCATTGGGATGCTGTGGGTTAAATGGACCTACCAGTCAGAGACTGATGCTTTGGAAGATGACTGCTCCCTGTGAAGAAATTACCTGGATTTCAGCTGAAATTTGAATTAGCTGCTGGATTAGTGATGTTCTTCTGAGTCCTAGTTTGAGCTTGAGGTTAGAGGTAAATTAAACAGATTAGCAGCATCCAGTCATCTATGCCCTAGCTCCTAAGCCTCCTAGGATTTCAAAAGATACTGGACCAAATTCAGATCTGATGCAAATGGGTGCAGCTCTCATTGATTTCAGTGGGAGTTGCACTTTTTGGGTTTTTTTCTTTTGCTAGGGCTGAATTTGATCCATTGTATCCTAGGGAACCAGCTCTTTTTACTTTTGCATTCCTTTCATATACGCACCCTTTTTTGCCCTCTTCTGCCATTTTGTTGCTCCTGTGTTAGCCAAGACCTAGTCTACTGGGCCTCTTCTTTGGAAACTTATTACAGCTTATTTCTGTCTGCCTTTCTTTAAAGCCAGCTGAACATACCCAATGCTCTTCCTCTATGGTAAGACCAAAAATACAGACCACCCTCCCAGCTTCTGTGACACTCTTC